AGTAAATACAATCTTAAACCTAATTTCGAGTACCAAGGTAAGTTCTACAAATTAACTTTTATCTTCTGCTCTGAAATATTTTTCCATTAAGGAAATTGCATTTCGCTATAATACGAGTATATTCTGCAAAGGATTCTTTTCTTTTAATATACCTCGGACGAAGCACTATTCTTTGAATAAACTTAAATTATATTACTAAAGGGCTCGGTGGTTTAGCGGTTATACTACTTTACTTACGATGGGTGCCGGTTCGATTCTCTTATGACAAACATTTGTATTCATGACTATGTTTACTCTGAGAGCTAGTTCTGTATATTGTGAATGTATTTACAAAAAAAGCATTATTGTTTCCAAATATGGTGTAGAACAATTTATAATTGGAAAAATATTTTAATGGTAACACTAGACAGTAACTTAACATACATATTTCTGAAGTCAAAATAGGAAAAAACTTTACATGTATTAATATTAAAAGAGTTCTCAACCGTTATTATTGTGAGTAGATGCCGCTTTGTGAAATCCTCATTTTTTTAATATATTAATCACTAAAAGTAATGTATTACGTAAATTTACTAAGAGTTATTTAATTAGTAATTTTTTTCTTATCCAGCACACATGTTTAAAACAGAAAATACAAGACATAATAATAAAAAAACATTATTATCAGAATGTGTACTTTTTGGCTTTGAAATCAATTTTAATACATTATCGATTTTTGGATAATGAAAGAAATGCACCAGAACACAGGGTGTGTTTTAGATTTAGAATAATTAAGCAGCATAAGCGGTAAGACCTTTCACCTCCCATCCAGTTCAACAAAGAACTCATATCAACCACTACGGAAGGGTGATGGAGATATTCAGTGGATTATATGTATATTGCAACAAATATAATTTATTCTCATTCCGATCAGTTGCACGTTACATATCAACTGTTACTTAGTAACATGATTAGTTATTTTAAATGGGATGGATTAGACTTTTTCTTCTAAGATCAATGAGCCGAATATATTTATTTATTTATTATTCTTTATTAATAATAACAAAAAAACATATATACAAAAGAAAACAATATTTTGAATATGGGTACAAAAGTCGGTCTTATCGCTTATGCTATATGATCTCTTTCAGACAACCTTTGTGTAGAGGAGAAAAGACAGAAGGTGGTGGATGGCAATGATGGAGTAGATGAAACATTAATAATAATAATATATAAAATAAATATAGTGAAAATATAGTGATATCTTTAGATTAAAAAGGGTCATTTGTTATTGAAATCGCAAAAACCAATGATGTGTAGGTAAACATGCATGATTTAATAAAATATAAATAATCTTTATTCAAATAAACTTAGGTAATAAAAACATTTTTGAATAGCCATATTTTTTTATTCCATCGCTTATTCGGAAAGCAGACGCATTACAAGAAGAACGAGTAAGAAAGTTCCGTGTTACTCTTTTAAATAAATGTGATTCAAGCATTATGTATTTAGGATTTTGTGTGCTAAAATATACTAAATATTTTCTATGTACAATTATTTGTGCACAGAAAATATTTAGTATGAAAATATTTATGTTTGTTTTTAGATTATTTGTGTATAATTTTTAAACATTGTTATATTTTGCATGCCATTGCTATGGCAATACACAATACACATACTATCCTTTATATAATTTTTTGTACTATGTTTTTGAACAAATAATAAATAAACGATATCAAAACCTTTTTTTAATCAGTTTAAGAAATGCTCCATTCAAATAAAATCATTTTAATTATTAATTTATAAGCAATAAATTACTATAAAAAAAACAAAGAGTTCTTATAAAAACTGCAACACAATCATGTGATTGTTCTCAAAAACAGTATCAATTCATGGCTGTTTTTCAATGCCCACTTTAAACACCAATTATGGAGGAACACAAAAAAAACCCTCTATTATTTCAACGCACAACCAGAAAGCATAACAATAATTCTATTCTCAACCTGAGAATCGAACTCGCACCGTTAGGTACGTGTTAAAACAATCGCTGCTTATTAAAATAACTATTGCATTTGCGACGTAAGTTATGAGAGGTAGCGGGTTAAATATTTTGACGGTGTCTAAATTTTATTTATATAATTATTTTTCTGATGTTAGAAATGATTATTATTTTATATATATAATATAGTGTAGTATACCGAAATTTAATAAAAAAAAAACAATATGTCGCATAGCATGAATTTGTAGTAGCCAATACTATATATGTATCTATATCATATATGTTTGTAATGTGGTGTAATCATATATATATATATATATATATATATATATATATATATATATATATATATATATATACATGTGTAGCATAGATGACTACAAATTCATGCTATACGTTTGTTTTTCGATGGAATATTGTATTAAAAACAAGTTTTTGTCATTTTCACATTGTTCATAGTATATTGTTTAAAATAATTCTAAATGCAAACACAGTAAAGGTTTATTTGATATTAGTTGTTCTATGATATTGTTTCACGAAAGTTCAGTATTCGCAAATAGCGAGAACTCTATTGTTATATTTATTAATAACCCCCAAGGGATGAATAAGGTCAGCTCAGTTTATACCTACTAGGGAAAATGTCAATCTGTTATTTGTATGGCATTTAAACGTCGGAGCATCAATAACGAAATGTAGAAAATATTGATTAATAATTGATTACGTCGACTTCATTCACGACTAACTGTTACCCGCGACTTTATCCGCTTAAAATAGAGATTTTAAAATAAAATTATATAATAAAAATAATAAGTTACTTCTTACGACATTCGCTATTTGCGTGTGGAAGTCTCGTCAAAATCGGACCCGCAGTTTCAGAGATTATAACAGACAGACAGACAAACTTTTTTCATTTTTTTTTCTTGTACCGTATGCACTTTTATCTGCTCTTGTTTAGTATAAGCTGGTAATTTGAAATTACAAACAGACACTTTAATTTTATCTATTTTTATAGATGAATTCTTGATGGGGACACATACCTTTTATTCTTTTTGGGTTTACAACATTCAGTGTAATCTCATATCTAAAGTTGTCTGTGGCTATTAATGGGTACTTTGCATAACCTTAATGGTTTAGTAAGACTTTGTTACAAATATTTAGAGTGTCCTAAAATTCACGTTGACTATGAGCTGTATGTTGGGTGTTAATAAATTGTATGTAATATTAAAATTGTGATACAGAAAATTCATCATTAGTTGTCACAGAAGTATTATAGCAAATAATACATATGTAATAATTATTATATATAATTTCTTATAAAAAATATTCTTGTTTCCAACACTTCACAACACCTCACAATAATTCTAAGGTTGAAGGAATCCCTCTGTGATAATAATTCCGGCTTCGTTCAACCTTAGAAAAGAAGAACTTCTTCTTTTATCATTGTATGTTACAGTAAATAAAGTATTCCGAACAAACAAATTAAAAATCCCGTGCATTACTTATCAGGCAGACATGTATTTAGTATAATGAGTAATAAAGCCAGAGATATCTCATAATCCTTTAATCATCAACCTCTATATATACCCGAATAATTTAGAACACGTACAGTTCTCCAATTTGTGGGTACAGTACGAAATTTATTATTAATTCTTTATTTATCTTTTTACTGCCTATTAGTCCTGTCATACGCATCTCCTGCTCATTTTTTTATACTACGATGGTGACAAACAAACATACTGCTCATCAGTAAATGGTTACCGTAGCCTAGAAGTCACCAAGGGTGTCAAGTGCGCGTTGCCGACAAAATTAGTAGTTTTAGTACTCGTTCTTGTGTGAAAATGCTTGAATTTCATCTTCTAATTTATTGTATGTTTTAATTACTATATAAAAGGCTTTAAAAATTGGGTGCAACAGTTTCATTATTACAAGCATCCACAGCAATTCATGCTTTGATAATTTAAGAGCCGCGCTATTTTAGTGGAGATCTTGCCATTTTCCATGATTTTTCATCAGAGACCAATATGATATGTAAATAATTATAATGTAGATATATAATATAATTTATAACAATAGTATAAAATGAATATTTATAATAACAATGTTTAAGAAAAAAACTGCACATAATATTAATAAAATAATCTAAAAAACGCCCTCGCCTGTAACTTAAATATCAAATTCGTGCTCGGTTTATTAGTTCGATAATATTGGTCTAGGCATGACTCAACGAGTAATTCCGGGAGCTAATGTATGTGTAGTTTGAAGTTTCCATTGTTGTTCTGAACTGAACGGGATATGACGTCATTGTGTATTAAATCTATTTAAATTTGGGGGGATTTAAATGAGCACTGAGGTTATGTTTTAAAGTTTTAAGATTACTAGTATTATAGTATTAACTGAATTAGGCATATTTCATTTTAGACATTTTTTTTTAATGATAACATGAAACAGTACACCCGCACGCTCTAACGGTATACGCTTATGTATTATGACTAGGGCCCTCACTGGACACGGCAAATTGAATAAACATATGACAAACTTGGGCCTGTGCTCACCAAAACTCTGCATATTTTGCCAAGCTGAAGAGGAACGCCACTACACATCCTATGTGGTTGTAGCCCATTCCTGCATAAACGATATATCACCTTTGGAACGTATACACTCTATCCTGAGAAGATAAAAACCATCGCTACTAAGAATATTTTAAAATTCTTATCCCTGACTAGGTCTAGGTAGCGAACTTTGAAAAAGTGCGATCACAATAGATCTATGTAGGTCGCAGTGCAACAGGTCTAAAGCACCTGACAATAGCCCAGACAGTGTAGACCGTTTTTTTTTATTGAGAATACAAAAAAACGGTATACACTCCTCCACCAGTCGATAATTGTAAGAGCATAAAGTCAGGTCAGTTTGTACTGGTGAATTTACCTGGATGAACTGGACGGATATGCGATTTAAAAAAAATGGCACACGCTGGAGCGGCACCATCAGATGATGGACAGGTCAGTTTATCCTAGTGATTTTACTAAGACTTGACCAGGAGGGTTTCCAATGAGGACTGCTTGGTGAATCTGATAACAACGGGACCCACTAGTCTCCATTTTAAATTCTTTCCTCCCAATCGTCTTAGATAATACCTAATAAATTTGTCACTATGAGCTAACTGGCCTAACCTCATATTCTTCTTCTTATCATCCTGAGCTGGTGTTCCACGAACGTATACTACATCTTCCATGATTCTCTATAAATTTTGATATAATACAACAACTTTAGTCTAAATTTGTCTATTATATATACTTATATATATTTATAGCTACAATCCATAGACAATTATTAGCTAATTTGGCTGTCTTAGTTCTTGATATCGCTCAAGGATATACAGACATACTAATTAGATAATATGCAATCCGCCAGGCGACTACAAAATCATTATTTATTTCTGCTTACACAAAGGTATTATTAAAAATATCTAATCGTATTATACACTGAACAATTTCTGACTTTCAACAAAGTCATCATGGATTCCTCTGTCCGCGAAACAGCTCGATTTGTAAGCTGTGAGCCGTAATGGTGAGATATGGAAGTCAATTATAGGTTACGCTTATATTGACGTGAAACTTATTATTTATTCTCAAACTTTGGTAACTTCATAAATAAAGTATTTCAATTTCAATTTGAATGTGACAGCTTAGTGAAATCAAAAATCATTTATTATTTATTCTAAGACCTTCGTTACCTGTACTTTACAAATACTGTATCTGAATTTGAATATTATAGCTTAATCAAATAAAAAAAATTAAACATAATTTCTTCATGTAGGACATTTTAGCCGCTTATGAACATCAAGTTATTTGTATTAATATTTTTTCCCTACCGTTCTGTATACAGATTCAATTGAGATGAACTGGCAAGAAACTCAACTGTTTTTTTTATAAAGCCAGCATTTTATATTGTAACGTTATATAGGTGTCTATGTCTAACATATAAATCTCCTTTTAGAAAGTTTACACTCTATCCTGAGGAGATAAAAACATCGCTCCTAATAATATCCTCAATTTTTATCCCTGACGGTTCTAGGTTACACTTTGAAAAAGGGGGCGAGGACAATAGATCTATTCAGGTCGCAGTGCTACAGGTCTTAGCACCTGAAAATAGCCCACCAAAAAAAGTCTAACATTAAATGAAAGCAATTGCCTGAACAACTATTGCCATGCACGTTTGTTAGTTGTAAACAATGACATGTAATAATAAATAATCCATTTACAAATAGATACCGTATCTAATGCGTATCGCAACAAATCTCGATTGTCATCCATATCGATTCTACTATCGTTCTCAATACATTTAATCGATTGAATCATGTGGTATCGAATGAGCACGCCTCGCGATACAGCCCTACTCATTGGGATTATACTTTTAATTATGAGTAAAGCCTTCGATCAACAATGCAAACTAGATAACGCCTCATGACAAATAAGCAAATATAACATCCTCAGCTATTGTAAAAAAAGGATTAAAAATTCAATGATTTTCGTCAAAACTGAACCTTAATTGCAAATAATAAAGCGCATTTTTGTATGTGTTATATAAAAACGTGTTGTATCCCGCGAATTCGTCTGCTTTTTCTACTAATATTTGAATTTTTTTGATTTTGAATTTTGAATAATGACCTATGTTCATCCTCGTGATATAATCCACTGTCACGTTTTATTTATTTAAATTCGTTCAGCCGTTCTCGTACAACACGCAAACACTTTAAAATTGTATAATCATTACATAGTATAAAACAAAGTCGCTGTCGCTGTCTGTCCGTCCCTATGTATGCTTAATTCTTCGACCTTCTTTTTTTAATATATAGAGTGATTCAAAAGGATGGTTTATATGTATAATATAATACATGTACAGCCGGGCGAGTAGCTAGTTTCAGTATAAATAAGATCTCCACTCCGCATTTGGGGCATTATTTCTCCGATTGTATGGTAAAATATGAAAAATTTGTACAAGTTTTGACTAAAGAACTTTCTGAATTTAGGATAGAGACAAAAACAGAAATATATCACTTTTTTCTACTTACTGTGATATTACATCCCCCTTCGTGTCAAATCCCTCGTAATATATCACTTATAACACTGTTTTGATCAACCGTTTAAACTTTTTTCGATATAAACTTAACTTAACAGGGCAATTCAAATTCACATTCGACCAACTAAGCTCGTTTGAACTTACTTGGGAGGAAAAATTGATACTCAGAGTGTTCATGAAGTTGTGATATCTATTTCAATCTATATCTATGGCATATATCTTACCAAGGAAAAACTTACTTTATATCTCATAGAGTATAGTCATCTACATATGTTGCATAGATTTCTACCGCAGCTTGCATCTAAATATATATAACTCAAAGGTGACTGACTGACTGACATTGTGATCTATCAACGCACAGCCCAAACCACTGGACGGATCAGGCTAAAATTTGGCATGCAGGTAGATGTTATGATGTAGGCATCCGCTAAGAAAGAATTTTGATTAATTCTACCCCCAACGGGATAAAATGGGGGTAAAAAATTTGTATGTAACTTTGTCAATTTTAAACCGATCGAGCTGAGACTTTGCATGCATAAAGCTACTATGACTAAATAATTTTGATAAATTCCACCCCTAAGGGGATAAATTAACACAAGCGAAGCGAAGCCGCGGGCAAAAGTTGTATTTATATTTTGGTTGAAGGAAAATATAAGGAACTTATAGAGCTGGAAGCAAGAATAGACCTTCAGCCATTCCATAAGTCTTTCCGCGGGGATCAACGGCCTGAGAAGAGGTTCAAAACCCAAGCGTTGACCTCAAATTAAAGTCGAATTCGTCAGGCAGGAGTTGGCCATCAGTCCTTCTCTAAGTCCTTGCGAGGATTTGAGGTGCCTTCTGAACTCACCGCTATAGTCTGATCAAGCTGTAAAGGCCAGCTGCGGCCAACAGCATTAGAGTAGTCAAAAGCATATTTGAAATTAGAACATCCTTCTATTTTACTATAATTTAAAAAAGAACATAACAGAACAGAAATGAAATTTTGTTAGAAAATCTGTTTTCAATTACTCATTGTAACCACAAAATATAAAAACCAGTACGTTTCTAGACACAATCAAATATAATAAAGCCGTCATTACGAAGATAAATATGGAATAGACGTTCACATAGTGATGTATCTCGTATAAACGCTTATTGCATTCAGAGCGAGATAACACTCATTTGTACGTTTAAAGACTCCATTCACCATAAACAGCCTATTCTTTGAGATTCTCTCTCGGTATGTTACAAATATATTGCAATCCATAATCTTTATTGCAATAACGATAAAGCTGAAAATTGAATACATATAAGTTTCAAAACGGCAAATATAATTTTGTATTTTACGAATGTAGTACACTTTTGAATAGGCTGTATATAGATCTTATTATGTGAGATAAAAGGACTAAGTTCGACTGCATTTTATAAAGGGAACGGTAAGAAAATTTCGAAAAAGGAACACGTGCGCTGAACGACCCACTTCGTTCGGAAACGTATGCAAATCCCTTTGTTGTCTGCATCGTGTTGCGTCAGTGTAACGGGAACGGGCCACGGTTTCCGAACGCTTTATGGTTGGCTCAGAGGGTCTGGATGTATGTAGTATTTCCTACGCCTCAGTTGTTGAAATGCAAAGTAGGAAAACACGAGAAAACATGTCTTCAGAAAATAAAATCTCATAACACATAATTTTTATGGTTACGTAATAACTTTTTTGAACCTATATTATAATACATAATTATATATAATAACTTATTTATTAAGTATGAAATATACTTAAATAAATTTATACATATAGACGTTCAGACAAATGTGTATTTATATCTAAATCAGACTATAATCAATTAATCATAAACTAATTTAGTTAATAGTAATACCATTTGAAGCATAGCTATTTTCCATGACCATCGAAATGTATGTACGTAAAAACCGGCCACTGCAGAAAAAGCGCGCGAAAATAATCTATAAGTATTTCGAAATTTAAAAGTTGTAAATATTGTATAATGATGTGCCTACATTCTAATAAATAAATAAATAAACCAATTTCCGTCACTAGGAGCAAAATATTTTTGGTATCAATCTATGTAATAATTTTTTTTATAGACTTGTTTTGATAGTTTTGTTGGTACTGCCTCAATTAAAACAATAAAACTTACTTATGAAACTGTGATCAAACTTTTTAAGAAGCATTTCTAGTTGTATTTTTTACCACAAATAATATTTTATTAAATCTTATTGTGTAACAAAACAAAGAAGAATGAAAGAAGCATTACGCTTCTTTCATTCTTCTTTGAACCTATTAATTTAAAAGTTCAATTCTGATAAGGACCGCGTCAATATTTTTTTTTTAATTATTAGCCATTGGCGAGAAGGCATCAGACCAAAAAACAGTGTTAATTGCTCTGTTTAAATAAACACATACTTTAAATTATCGCAAAGATAAATTAATTTCCTTTTCATTTTGAATGTGCACCGACGCGCGGCGTTTGATACGATCGTGTACAAGTATTTAATACTCTTTGTTTTAAATTACAATAAATGTATTTTATGTAGTTTGTTCTCATTTACATGGGGCCATATATGAAATACACTTTTGAATCTCAATTAACCAGAAAAAAGATTTAAATGTCTTATAAAATGCTTTCTTTGTATAAAAAGCTTATTATAAAATTGAAGAATTTATATATGATAATAATGTTTTTGTATAAAATATCTGACGTACAATTCATAGCACTAACAATGTTATCTGATTGAACAGAGATTAAGTGCGTAGCAGTTTCTATGTTGATTGTCGAATGCTTAAGCCTTGTTAATGTAAATATAATTAAAACAATATTTATTTAAAAGAGTAACACACAAGTTTATTGCTCTTTCTATTGAATCTTGAACAGCTTTAGCCTTTGCGTCTTAGAGCATCAAATCAAAGATTTAAAACAATGTATATATTAATCTAATATTATAAATTCGAAATTCTGTTCACTTGATAAAAAATGTACAAAAGGCGAATTTAAAGTTGTATATTTTTTACCAGTAAATATTATAAAGTCTGTTGAACCTTTCTCCTATGTAAGAACTATGAATATATTCCCATACCTTGCAATTTCCCTTCTACCGGAAGGTGCAAAAATAGTACAGTGTACAGTTTGCAAAACAAATGCAAATTCAAAATAACTTTATTCATGT